ACCAACTAAGATGTTGAGAGGATGACAAATCTAAAGCCTATTAACTGGCCAGTCGACTTGTCCGTTATGACCAAACCCTCCTAAATTTGTCTGTAGTCGAACACCTGCACAAGAGTGTGGCTGGCGAAACTGAAACACTTTCAGCAGCACACACTGCGAATGAAGTTGATAATCACTGAACCGATAATTTAACACCAAGCATATATATTTTTCACATAAACATCACCAGTAGAGCACTTATGGCTTTCAATATTGCTGAAGTCTGCTTTCAATATTCCTGAATCCCTTTCTCATGCGGAACCTAGCACGAGGGTCTTAAGATTGTCGCTCCCCGTGGTTGCAGCCCGCAGCACTCAGTTTGCCACATTTTTGTACGTCAGAGCCTTGTGATTATCATCAACGCCATTACGCCAGCCTCCTTAACCACATAACAACTGATGCACCAGCCTTAAAGTAACAGGGGATGCATTAAGAACGAATAGAAAGAAGGTGCTCATAAAGTTTTGTGCGATAATGTACAGCCGGACAATTTGTTTCGCTGGCAGCGCGTGCAATGTACACCTCAGCTCGCTCTTCCGAAGGCCAAAAATTGAAGGCTCATACTGTAGCTTAAGTTCATTTTTTATATTCTTTACCCCCTTTGATTCTTAGTTGCTTGACAGATGGGGAATAAGAGCATGCGATTTGTTTACAGGAAGGAACAGAGAGAGGGAATAAAAGGCCCAACACATCAATGGAAAAAGGGAACAAAGTGGTCCATTTTCTGATTCGTGCCATGCAATCTCGAAGCTTGCGGGGGTACAAAGGGAATGCTTGCAAGGAGAACCCACGAAGGAGGCGCAGGAAAAGCTGGCAGGGGGTTGTGCGGATAGCCTACATGACTCCGGAAGGGGGAGGAGACAAAACACCTCCTACCCGATGAAATTACAGTCTGGAAGGACGGATAAACTTTACGTCGACGAACAATGCCATGTGCCAAAGCATGGACCTGAGCTGCATACCCAAGGCAAGGTTCTTACCATCGACTTGTTAGTTAACGTTTGGTGTAGTACTTACGTTACGTCTGGCTTGGTGGTGGGTATCATAGACTTGGAATCAAACGTGAGGGTTGGTACTTCAAATGGCTCAGCACTTAACGTGAGACTTGGTACTTCCCATAGACTGGACACTCAGCATATCCTCGGTACCGACCATAGAGACGATACTTCATGTTGAGCTTGGGACTTACTGCAGACTCTATACATTATATTTGACTCGGTATTTGCCATTAACATAGTGCGTATCTCTGGCTTGGTCATTCTTATACAAGCGGTACCAAACCTGATGCTTAGTACTTACAATAGACATGGTACTACATTAGGCTTTGTAGCTACCATAGACTCGACATATGACAGCTTACCATAAATACAGTGCTAAATGTTAGGCTTGGTACATACCATGGACTTGATAATTAATATCTGGCTTGGCACGATACGTAACGGTGGGCTTAGATGTTACCATAGACATCCAAGCATGGAATGGAACAAACTAGAAACGTGGTACATGCCACATCTGGCTTGGTATCCAAACACTTGGTACTTAACATAGGCTCGGAGTTTACTGTAGATACGGCATTCAACACTAAGCTTGGTACTTGCCGTGAACTCGGTAAATAAGGTATGTTCGAAACTTTCTTAGACTCGGTACATATCCTGAGGCTTGGTACAAACAATTGGCACGGTCCTTAACAGTACACTTGGTACAAACCATAGACTCGCCAACAAACCTGCATGATGTTGGTGCATATTCGTTTGCACGTCATTCTGTCGTCTGTTCGCATCATTTCGTTGCATGTGTTTTGTGTGCTACGTTGTTTGTGTGGTTTGTTGGGTTTGCATGTCTTTGCATATTCATCTTGTGCTTGTGCAGATGTGCTTGGATTGTGCATGACATCGAGCACATTCCAACGAGCCAAGAATTGTTGGAATCGGAGCACATATGAAGAAGTTACGAAGAAATGTTTGACGGATTTGTTACAACTCATTGGAAGTCCTTGGCAGCTGCTACACCAAAGTTGGAGAGCCCTATAACGAGGAGGGACCAGCATGTGTGGGACGTTTGTCCTCATGTTGCAGCTACAGCATTTGGGGGTTGGAGGCCAACCTGGCACAGTGTGAATTTTGTCTTGCCAGGCTGGTTGAACTTGGGGATGGGGAGTCAAGACTTTGACTCTTGTCATGTTCTTGACCATGGGCCTCCAGGGTCTTTCCCTTTCATCCTTCCCTTCCATCCCCACCTTCCAACTGTGCTTCAATGCCTTTACTATCATGCCTTTGAACTTGTAAGCTTCAATTATAGTGACTCTGAGGACTGTCAATTTCTCTTAGGGCAGATTACCCCCCAGTGCGCCAAACGCCATAGCTCACTCGATAAGCTACGGAATCGAGTGATTCAACTTTCATTGAAAAGCTGTCGCTGCAAGCGACAACATATCCGATTTTCCTGCCGCCATGTGCAGCCCGCTTGCCGCTCAAGGCGCTTCGTTTGCTCGTTGCTCGCACTGCCCGCTCGCTGTCGCCGCTTGCCGCTCGCCACATGCTGCCCGCTTGTCCAGCTCGCTGCGTGCTGCCCGCTCCCTATCTGCCACTGTCTCCCACCAGCCTCTCGCCTGCCAACCTTTCCTCCCCTAAAGAGCTGCCCCGGGTCCACCCGCCGTCATTCCACCTCCACGCCGCCGCATGTCCGCTCGGCGCTGCCATTCTCAAGCCACCACGAGTCCACCCGCCATCTCTCCCATTCGATCTGCCACAGGTCCACCCGCAGTCTATAAGCAGATGATTCAATGGCTCCTTGGAAATTTCTGCAGCACTTCGTTATGACGCCGAAAAACCTCGCGACCTTCGAAAAGCTATATCCGAAATTCCAATCTGTGAACCGATCTGAACATCGGATATGTTGTAGCTTGCAGCGTCAGCTTTCCATTGAAAGTTGAATCACTCGATTCCATAGCTTAACGAGTGAGCTATGGCGTTTGGCGCTCTGGGGGGTAATCTGCCCTAGGGGAAATTGACAGTCCTCAGAGTCGCTATAATTAAAGCTTACAAGTTCAGAGGCATGATAGAAAAGGCATTGAAGCATAGTTGGAAGGTGGGGTACGAAGGGAAGGATGAAAGTGAAGGACCCTGGAGGCCCTTGGTCAAGAACATGACAAGAGTCAAAGTCTTGACTCCCCATCCTCAGGTTCAACTAGCCTGACGAGACAAAATTCACACTGTGCCAGGTTGGCCTCCAAACCCCAAATGCTGCAGCTGCAAGGTGAGGACAAAAGTCCCACACATGCTGGTCCCTCCTTGTTATAGGGCTCTTTAACTTTGGTGTAGCAGCTGCCAAGGACTTCCAATGAGTTGTAACAAATCCGTCAAACATTTCTTCGTAACTTCTTCATATGTGCTCCGATTCCAACAATTCTTGGCTCGTTGGAATGTGCTCGATGTCATGCACAATCCAAGCACATCTGCACAAGCACAAGATGAACATGCAAAGATATGCAAACCCAATTAACCATACAAACAACGTAGCACACAAAACACATGCAACAAAATGATGCGAACAGACGACAGAATGACGTGCAAACGAATATGCACCAAAACTTCGATCTACCACAGGTCCACCCGCAGTCGCTCTACCTTCGTGCCGACGCGGGTCCGCCTGCCACCGCCACTCTCAAGCAACCGTGGGGCCGGCACTCCCCTTCGAACCGCCAGGGGTCCACCCATTGCTGCCGTGGTCCTTTTCCGCCGGGGGCTCTCCCGCCGCTGCCATCTCTCTCCTCAATAGCCGCGGATTCCTCAAACACCACTCCTTCCACTTGTCATTCCTGTCTCCTCTACATGGCACCCACCGCTTAGAGCTGCCACAGTAGACTGCGCGTGACAAACTGGTGGTCCAGCCGTTGTCGTGGATCACCTTATAAAGGCGGTTGGCGAAGACGAGGACAGGAACCCGAGGTTTCTCTGAGGCCCCTGTGGTGCTCGGGATCTTGTGGACGAACATGTTGGCATATCGGATGTGACGAATGCTGCAGCCCCTGCCCAGTAGGTAATCCGACAAAAGATTCATCATGTTCATCATGCACCATCCATAGGGGTGGGTCCAGGCAGTTCATGGTCTTGTCGAAGCACTTCTTCGCCCCTTCTTCTCAGCAATGTTCAGTCTGTCTTGCGATAAACTCGACGAACACTTGGAGGCGCCACTTCGCCGTGCGTGGCCCATGCAGATGAACCTCGTTGAGGGGAACCTTGGACCAGTCCTTTCCCAGATTGTTCCCCAGATGCTCGCCGACCTCGTCCGCATGCTCAAAACGTTCCTCCTTTGGAATGTCCAGGCCCGTCGTTTTGGCCATCAACATTATGATCCAGGATTTGAAGTTGGGAAAGTGCCCCACATACTGTCGCCTGATAGTTTTCGGTGTGATACCCATAAAGAGTGTTTCTGCCCACTTAACATTATTGTCCACCATATTCGTTTCTATGTACGCATTCCCTTCGTAGCGGTTTCCTGCGGGCTGCTCAGGGGCAGACGAGGGCGTTCTGGGGGCGGGTGCTGTTAGAATATACCATGCTATGCTAGTTGTGTATATTGTGTTTACATCCCTAGTTGGGTGTACACCTGTGTTGGGGTGTCAATCCAACCCAATTGTGGTTGGAGCCCCCAAACACAAGGACCACAATTGTGGGGGCACCACAAGTGGGTTGGCTAAACCACTGGTGGTACACCACACTTGGACCACCTCCAACTGGTGGTCAACCACATTTGGAAGGAGCCTCCCTCCCTTGTGATTGGTCCTAACCCCCCCTTCCCTTCCAACCTTCCCTTCCTAGCTCATCTCTCTCTTCCTATGTAATGCCTTTCCTTCATCAATAAACTGAACCTTTCTGTTTCTAACATGGTATAGAGCAATAATGGCTCACGCCAACTTTTAAATCCCGATCCTTCCCCACGCTTCCGCCCCGTCCCCTTCCGACGTGCACCTCATTGCCGTCCCCTCCATCGCCGCTGCTAGACTCCTAGCCGCCGCCTCTCAACTAGTTTTCTGTTGGGTGGATTTTCAAAAACCCCCAATGCGCCAAACGCCATAGCTCGCTCGATAGTTGACAGAATTGAGTGATTTGACTTGCAAAAGAACGCTCTTGGTGTCAGCTACAACGTCGTAAAATTTCGGACTGTTTCATCGCTTGGATTGTCAGATATCGCTTTCCGAAGTTTGCACACTTTCCTGGATGTGATCACGAAGTGCTACTGAAATTTCTACCAAGTCCTATTTTCATCAGCTAACTGCCATCTTTCCCCATCTTTTGCCTCCTCACCTGCACCTGCTCATCGCCGCCTTACCACTGCTGCAGCCGTAGCAGCAGCAGTAGAAGCAGCAGCAGCACCAGAAGGAGCAGCAGACTCAGCAGCAGCAGCAGCAGCAGCAGCAGTAGCAGCAGCAGCAGCAGCTGAAGGAGTAGCAGCAGCAGCAGCAGCAACAGCGGCAGCAGCAGCAGTGGCAGCAGCAGCAGCGGCAGCAGCAGCAACAGCAACAGCAGCAGCAGCAGAAGGAGCAGCAGCAGCAGCAGCAGCAGCAGCAGTATCTACAGCCATCCCCATCCTCCCCTCCTCTTTGAGCCGCCGCGGGTCCACCCGCCGCCGCTCCCTCCCGGCCACCGCGGGTCCACCCGCCGTCGCCTTCCTCCCACTCCGTGTCACCAATGTCATCCTTTCCCCCTCCCGTCGACGTCTCGACCCTCGATCATCTCGTGCGCGCTGCCGACAACTCAGCAACCAATTGGTATTCCTTCGTCGGCAGCCTCCACCGCGTCCTCGGCAGTGCTTATGTCCTGCCGTTCCGCCTCCTGGACATCATGCTTGGTCTCCCAGAGGGTGACCTTGGGGACCCGCCGCCTCACCCTGGCGATCCCCCCCCTCTCATTCCCCATCCCGGCGAGGAACCTTCGCCCCCCATAGTACCCGTTGGCACCAGCACTCGCGCTGCCACCGCTGAAGTTGAGCAGCTCTTCCTTACTCAGCGTCGTGAGTTCCTCGTGCTCCATACTGATTACCTGATCGCGTTGGAGGAACACGAGCGGTCGGCAACCCTCCGCACCCAGCATGCCGCTACCGCCGCCGCTTATGCCGCTGACTCTGCGCGATTTGCTGAGCGTCGTCGCGCCTGGCTCGAGGCGGACAGCCGTGCTACTGGTGCCCTTCTCCTTGCCATCCCGTCTGCGCTCATGCGCAACTTCCAGGCACGTCGCATCGGCTCCCGCCAGATCTGGCTCGAGCTTGAGGCAATGTTCGAACGCACCGACTTCGATGCTGTCGGACCGCTCTTCAAGGAATACTTCAGCATCACGATCGAACATAGTGCTGGCGCTGTTGACTACACCAGCCGTCTCCTGGACCTTGCCTCCCGCCTTGAGGCTCGCCAGACTACTCTCCCCCCCAACCTTCAGATCTACCGTCTCCTCGAAGGCCTCTCCCCTCAATATGAAGTGCGCGTCATCGCCTTCACTGAGGCTCAGCCCCGCGCCTCCCTTGACACTGTGGTCCAATGGATCATTGACGCTGAGGCCCGCCTTCTCTCAACCCCCCCCTCCGGCCTGAACTCCACCGCGTCCCAAAACCCCCAGCTTGCAGTCACACAGCCGCGTCGTGGCGGGCGCCCACGTGGCGGCCGCACCAACCCTCAGGGAGGGGGTGGAGGTGGCGGTTGTGGGGGCAGCGGAGCCGGCGGCGGTGGTGGCGGGGTCGAGGGTGGCAGCAGTGGTGGTGGTGGAGGCAGTGGTGGCTCATCTGGTAGCCGTGGTGGCCGCCCTGGCACTCTTCCCCCATGTTCCTATCTTCGCCGTTTTGGTCCCAGGGCGGGTGAGCGCTGCACCCAAACCAACCATCCCCCCGCAACCTGCTTCAAGGCGTATGATGACGCCTGGTTCGAGCGCGGCAACACTGGCACCCCCCCACGCTGGTCTGCCATGGATCCCCGCCCCTCTCTCCAGGATGTCAAAACTCTTCCGTCTTTCCTCCCCTCTCATCTTCAGCTCTCCTCCTCCTCCTCCTCTGTCGCTGACCCCATAACTCCCCAGGAGCTGCAGCAGTTTCGCCGCTTCCAGCAACTGCAGCTGCTGCAGCAGCAGCAGCAGTGGGGCTCTGGTGGTCAGGCTGCAGCCGCAGCTGCAGGAGCCGCAGCCGCAGCATCTGCATGGCAGCAGCAGCAGCTTGGCTTTGGCACCGCCGCCATGGCTGCCACAGCCACACCAGGTCCTCCTGGCTTTCCCCTCTGGGGCTCTCCTTCCCCTAGTGCTCCCGCCTCCCACTCCAGCTTTCTAGGCGAGCTCATGCGTTCTTCCCCTGCTTCCACTTCCATGTATCCCTCTGTTTTTAATGCCAGTGATTTCCAGTACCCCGTGTCTTCAGCTCCCTCCTCGCTCACGATTGACTTTGTTCTCGATAGTGGTGCCACTGAAACTGCCCTCAAAGACGCCGGCACCCTCACCTCCCTCCCTTTCCCCACCAACGTTCATGGTGCTGATTCCAGCTTCTCCATCCCTTGCACTCATCTCTCCACCCTCCCCTGCCCCCCCTTCCCCTCTGGAGTGGTCACTGGTCTCCACATTCCCTCCCTTCGTCATAACCTGCTCTCCATTCGTGAACTCCAACAGGCTGGCATCACTACCCTCTTCCCCGCCTCTGCCACCTACTGTGACCTCCTCCACGGCCCCACTCGCCGCCTCCTTCATCGCCTCCCACTTTGCCCTCGCTCTCGTCAGTACATCCTCCGCACACCCCGCCCCTCCTCATGCCACGTGACCACTCGTGCAGGCACCTCCACTCTCCCCCCTCCCCTCCCTCTAGAGCCACCTTCCTCCAACTCCACCTCCTCCCCATGCTCTTGTCGCGCACTGTCCCACCCCGCTGTTCTCATCCACCACCGCCTTGGTCATATGAACTTTCCCACACTTCGTAAAGCCATCTCCTCCCGCTTGCTTGACGGTCTTCCCCCCACTCTTCCTCCCCTCCCGTCCTCTTCCGCTCCCCCATGCGCCACATGCATTCATGGAAAGCTCAAACAACAGCCTCACCTCAGTCATCCTTCCTTTGCTGCTGCCCCCCTTGACCTCGTCCACATGGACCTCTGGGGCCCTAACCCTTCCCCTTCCCGCCAAGGGCACCGGTACCTGCTTGTCCTAGTCGACGACCACAGCAGGTACTCCTCGGTGTTCCTCCTCCACACGAAGGCTGAGGCCCCTGCTGTCATCGTTACCTGGGCCGAGCAGTGCCGAGTCCACTTTGGTCGCCCCATCCGCCGCCTCCATTCCGACGGCGGTGGTGAGTTTCTCAACCGCACCCTCTCCTCCTACTGCTCAACCCATGGCATCCAGCAGACTCATACCCTTCCCCACTCCCCTCAGCAGAACGGTGTTGCTGAGAGTCGCATTCGTGAGATCACCAAGACGGCCCGCTGCCTCCTCACTCATGCCTCCACGCCCCCTTCTCTTTGGGGCTATGCCCTTGTCCATGCTGCTCTCCTTACTAATCTTTACCCACATCCTCAACGCCAGTCTGTCACTCCCACTGAGCTCTGGGCTAGCACCAAGCCAGATGCTGCCATTCTCCGTATCTGGGGTTGCAAGGCATATGTCCTCATCCCCCCACCTGACCGCTCTCGGCAGGCAGGAAAGCTCGCCTCCAAGGCCATTGAGTGTGTCTACCTTGGCCACGCTCGCTCTGCCCCTGGTTACCTCTTCCTTCACCCGTCCTCAGGCCGCCTCCTACAGAGCCGTGACGTGGTGTTCGATGAGAGCATCCCGTTCTATCATTCTGTTCCGCCTTCCGACCCCCTTCCTCCTCTCTCCCGCCCCCTCACCTGGGCTGATGCTGTCATTCCCCCACTCCTTCCCCAGGCTCCCCTCCTTCCTCCAAATCCTGCTCCTCCCCCTCCTCCTTCCTCAGGTGACATTTACGACCCAGCTGTCCCTGACTCCCCTGCTCACTCTGCCTCATCGCACCAGCAGCAGCAGCAGCAGCAGCAGCAGCAGCAGCAGCAGCAGCAGCAGCAGCAGCAGCAGCAGAAGGAGCAGCAGCACCAGCAGCAACAGCAGCAGCAGCAGGTGCAGCAGCAGCAGCGGATGGAGCAGCAGCAGCAGCAGCAGCAGCAGCAGCAGCAGGAGGTTCAGCAGCGGATGGAGCAGCAGCAGCAGCAGCAGCAGCAACCGCAGGCAGTGCAGCAACAGCAGCCGCAGCAGGAGGTGCAGCAGCAGCACCAGCAGCAGCCACAGCAGCAGCAGCAGCAGCAGCAGCAGCAGCAGCCACTGCAGCAACCTCATCGGCATCGCCGCACCACCTCTCCGTTCATCCTCCCACGCATCCACACTCGCTCTCACGGCCCACTCATAGGCCATCCATGGGGTTGGCCAACACCACCCCCACCCTCCCTTCCCTTCATTGAGGACTCCCATGAGGAGCTCATTGGCGTTCAGCAACAAACACCTTCCCTCACGCCTCTCTACCCGGGCTTCCTTGGCCTCCTCATCCTTGGCATCGCTACCGCTCCCACCAGATTCACTCCGTCCAACTTCCTTGAGGCCATCACCTGCCCCGATGCTGCCAAGTGGATCCAGGCTATCTTTGCTGAATGCGAGGCCTTCATCCGCAATGCCTCATTCGTTAACATTGTCCCCTCTCCTGACGACGTCATTGTTGAAGGCCTCTGGGTGTTCCAAGTGAAGCAGCTGCCGGGTGAGGAGCCGGTCTACAAGGCCCGGTATTGTGCCAAGGGCTTCACCCAAACCCATGGCATCGACTACTGGGAGACATTCTCTCCCACTGCCAAGCTCCCAACTCTCCGTGCCATCCTCGACTATGCTGTTCGCATTGGCATGGAGATTGCCTCCATGGATGTCTCCAACGCCTTCCTGCAAGGCGAGCTCCAGGAGCGGGTCCTCTTGCGGCGGCCTCCAGGCTTTCATGCAGCCTTCCCTCCCAACACAGTCTGGGAGCTGCGCCGCCCGGTTTATGGCCTCAAGCAGGCTCCTCGCGAGTGGCACAACAAGCTGGCCGCCACTCTGCAGTCCTTGGGGTTCCATGCCTCTCAGTCTGATGCCAGCCTTTTCCTTCGCTCCTCTCCCACCCGCTTCTTCATCCTGGTGTATGTCGACGACATGATCCTGTTCGCTGACGATGCTGCCGCCATGCAGCAAGTGAAGGACGCCCTGCATGCGCGCCTCAAGTGCAAGGACCTGGGTGAGCTCAAGCACTATCTGGGCATGACCATCACCCGGGACCGCACATCGCGCACCATTACCCTCTCTCAGTCCTTCTACATCGACCAAGTCTTGCAGCGGTTCGACATGGCGCAGGCGAAGCCGGTTACCACTCCCCTGCAGACCGACCACCAGCTTGCCCCTCCTCCTGCTCCCTCCTCCTCTGACCATCCTTACGCTGAGCTCGTCGGCTCGCTGATGTACGCTATGATGTGCACCCGCCCCGACCTTGCCTACCCCATCAGTGTTCTTGCTCGATTCGTCGGTACCGGTCGCCACACTGATGAGCACTGGGCTGCAGCGAAGCGGGTCCTCCGCTACCTCCGTGGTACCAAGGACTATGTCCTCACCCTCGGAGGCTCTTCTCCTCCCCTCCTCTCTGGCTTCAGTGACTCCTCCTGGGCTGACTCCCAGCCGGATCGCCGTTCCTCTCAAGGCTACGGCTTCACCCTTGGCAGCGGCCTCATCAGCTGGCGCTCCACTCGCTCCTCCTCCATCGCCCTCTCATCCTGCGAGGCTGAGCTCTATGCTTGCACCATGGCCGCTCAGGAGGCTCGCTGGCTCACCTTCCTCCTTGCTGAGATCGGTGCTCCTCAGTGCTGTCCCACCCTCTGGTGCGACAACGCCAGCACCATCCATCTCACAAAGGACCCTGTCTTCCATGGCCGCTCCAAGCACATTGAACTCCGCTACTTCTTCGTTCGAGAGTTGGTCCAGCAAGGTCACTTGGTGGTCCGCAAGATCGCTGCAGAGGCCAACTTGGCCGACATCTTCACCAAGGCCCTCCCGAAGACCGCGCACTCTGCCCTCCTCCGCCTTCTCGGCCTTGGGCCCCGCCCCCCTTCCTGATTCTGGGGTTGTACCCTACATATACACTAGCTTTGCATGCTATGGGGTTGTGTTAGAATATACCATGCTATGCTAGTTGTGTATATTGTGTTTACATCCCTAGTTGGGTGTACAACTGTGTTGGGGTGTCAATCCAACCCAATTGTGGTTGGAGCCCCCAAACACAAGGACCACAATTGTGGGGGCACCACAAGTGGGTTGGCTAAACCACTGGTGGTACACCACACTTGGACCACCTCCAACTGGTGGTCAACCACATTTGGAAGGAGCCTCCCTCCCTTGTGATTGGTCCTAACCCCCCCTTCCCTTCCAACCTTCCCTTCCTAGCTCATCTCTCTCTTCCTATGTAATGCCTTTCCTTCATCAATAAACTGAACCTTTCTGTTTCTAACAGGTGCACCATTCTCTGTTACCGGCTGGCCTTCTACTATCAGATCTATGTCCACATCGTGGATCTCCTCGTGAAGAAACCAGCATCGTCTTCTCGTACTGTGTGTCCTCTAGTACGTTATTGCCAAGGGCAGGTGCACCCTGGACGGACGGAGGACGGTCAGGGTTAGAGACCAGAGCGGTGGCGTAGTCAAGGCGGCAGCTAGCAGCCAAGTCAGCGACAGCAGCGACAAGTGCAGAGACAATCTTAGGAGCTGCGGTAGGATGCGTGACTAGTGATGCATGCAAGCGGGAAACGACTGGACGAGCAGTACGAGCAGAGTCAGAGGGAGGAGCAGGGCACAGCGGGAGCGACGACGATGGAGGAAATGAAAGAACGGGGAGTGGAGGAGCACGAGAACGAAGGACCATAGGGTGGACAATAGCACGAGGAGGGACGGGACGAGCACCAGGGGGACGGGACGAGCACTAGGGGGACGACGGACCCAGGGGGGAAGGACATGTGACTTGGGACGAGGGGGAACGGGGGACAGGACAGGAAGCGGCGGACAGGACAGGAAGCGGCGGAGGGCGGAGAGGATTCTGGGGGGGGAAACAGCGGGCCATAGACAGGGTCAGACGGGAGGGGAGGCACAGTAGAGGGATGGGTGGTCGGTAAGGGGCACTGGAGGAAAGTCCAAGGAGACGAAGGGCAGAATGCGGCTGTTGTTGCTGCTGCTGTTGGCGACCCACGCTAGGACCCCCAGCCCCAACACCGCCAGTACTCTCCGAGCCAGCACCCCCAGGACTAGCACCCAGAACCAGCCCACAGAATTAGCACCCAGAGATTCAGCAACCCCAGAACGAGTACCCCCAGAACCAGCACCCCTAGAGGTCACAACTTCCTGCCACTGCTGCTGCGGCCGCTGCTGCTGTTGCTATTGCTGCTGCAGCAGGGAGGAGGGAGGCTGCTGAGGTGCCTAGTGCACCGGGGCTGGGAGGGGGAGGCACCAAAGGGGCGGGAGGTGCATCCCTGGCCACAGGGCCTCCAGAGTCAACAGACTCCTCCACGGGCCCAACCGAGGGGTTCGGGGTGACGTATGATACACCAGACGGGGCCGGGCTGGGTGGGAGGGGTGCGGCAGGCAGGGTAGGGGCGAGGAAGAGAGGAGGAGGGATGTGAGAGCCACGGTGAGGGAAGCGGGTATGTAGGGAACCATTTTGTCGAAGGTAATGTCACGCGAATGGTAGATGTGTTGGTGCACTTGGTGGTCGAACAGCCGGTCAGGGGCGTCAAGCGGAAACTCGACGAAGACACAAGGCTGAGAGCTTGTCCGTGCCTGTGGTGCGGACGTGAGTGAGGCTGCCCCTGACGTGGAACGCAGTGTCATCAGGGGACCCGGTCCAGAGGAGGGTCGGCGAAACTTGTGGGCGCAAGGAACGTGGCCATCTGTTAAGGCGGTGAGCTGTGAAGCGAAATACGAACGGCCACAGGAAGTGGGGATGCACCGGCGTGGACCAGGGAGGTGTGTGCTACCTCCCTGACCAGGCCGATGCGTCGCTCAACATCCACATTCGTATGTGGGGATTCTGGTAGATGGTCGGATGCGAACACTCCAAGATGCTCGGATGCTGAACACTCCAAGATGGTCGGATGCGAACTCGCCACTGTTAGAAATAGATTGCAAATCCCACTTTTGTATTTGTACTTTTATAGTTTAGGTTATGAATGTTCTAGTAGGTTGGGGTGTACTCACAAATCCCAACATCACCCAATTGTGATCCCCCCAATCTCCAATTACCCAATTGGAGATTCTGGAGATCCCAATGGGGATTCCCCCCAATTCCCCCTTCATCCATTCTCTCTCACCTTGCCATGTACTTATAGAGCCTTGGGCTCCTTACTTAATTAGTGATTTCAGCTCTATTTCTTACATGGTATCAGAGCAACCTATCCACACACGCGGATCAAGGTCCTAGTCTTAACGTGCCCGCGCTACGCGCACATTATCGTCGCGACATTCATCTCGACTCGTCGGAATGGCTTTGGGATAAATTTTCACCGTCCAAGGTGGTGACCATAATCGATGGGGCTACACGTTTGATGAACGAGTCATTCCACTATCTTGAAATACGCACCCAAGCGCTTCAGATTTCAGGGGAATTACCCGGCTAGAATTGCTGGTACATTGCTGCACTGGATTAACACATTGGATCAGGTTGTGAAATCATACATCACACGTGTACGACAAGAAACAAGGTGCGTCGTGGCCGAGTGACAGAGTGCTCGGTCCAATGATTTGGACGTGGGTTGACGGCGTCCTGCGCGAGTGGGAGGATGGTCCCGTTGAGTCTGGGGCACAGACAACGAGGCGACCGATGATGCTACCCATCCCATGACTCGGCGGCAGCTTGGGTCGGCATCCCCGGCTACTAGCTCGACGCCATCAGCATCACCCACTTGAGTAAGTCGGATTTCCTTCTCCTACCGCCTCCCCCTGTACCCTCTACCCATTTCCTCTATTCCTGATCAGTTCCTCCCCTTATCCCCCCAATCCCTCCCCCCCACTCCCTATCCTTACACCCCCCAATCCCTCCCCTCTCCATCCCCCCCACTCCCTTCACTTATTCTGCCCATTCCCTCTCCCTTATACCCACCCATACCATTCCCTTGTTCTCTCACTCCCTACCCTCGTTCCCCCTCCGCCCTCCCCTTATTCCCCAGCCACCCTTTAATCCATTAACCCCCCACTACCTTCCTTTATTCCCCCCACTCCCATCCCTTATCCCCCCCACTCCCATCCCTTATTCCCCCCACTCTCATCCCTTATTCCCCCCCCCCTGCCCCCACTCATCCTACCCCCTTCCCACTCTCTCCTTCATGTTGCACCTCATCTGCCATGCTCTCCCCTTATCTTCCATGCTCCCCCCTTATCTGCCATGCTCCCCCCTTCTGCAATGCTCCCCCTTTGTCTGCCATTCTCCCCCCTTATTTTCCATGTCATCCCCCAATATCCCTTGTGCTCCCCACACCTCCCCTCTGCCCCCCCCCTCCTGTCCTCCCTCCTGTCCCTCACGTATTTCTATGCTCTAGATCCCTGTCCTCCTCCCTGTCCCTCACCTTTCCTCCACTCCCCCTTCCTGTCCCCCCCCCAGCAGGGAAGGAGAAAGGCAGTACAGGATGGAGGGAGTGAGGCAGGATAGCACTGACCTTGGAAGTGTGGGGCAGTGAGCATGTGGTTTAGCTGATGGCCAGAGGGTGAGTAGAGAGTTTGAAGGTGGGGGGAAGGCTGGAGGTGGGCGGGCCGTACCGCCCTTGCACTTCCAACTGCGCAATCACTGCCGTAAATCTCGGCCCTCGAACTCCCCGGGAACCTGGACTTGCCGCCCTTGAACTCAATTCGCATCTCCTCTCTCCATTTCACCCTCTCCATTTCCCCCTTTCCACCCCACAGAGTCCATTCCCCCATCTCGTTTCGCCACCAGCCCCGGCTGAGAAACCATCAATTTGTGGTCGTGATGGGCACAATCTTGGCGCTAAGTATGCAACTATTTGAGTCTGGCGCTCAGCTCTCCCAGTTCTGTGGCTTGAAGCACCAGCGGGGGGCTACCATCAGGATTCATCCCCTCGGGTCACTGCCGATCCTTATCAGAATAGGGCCAAAGATGGATGTGCTTAAGACTGTAGCATAAGAAAGGATCTACTAGGCTGGCTGTCCCTACTAGGATCTAGATGGTGGCTAGGTTCTATGTGCATACATACAGCAGCCAAAGGTATCATGTAACAACTTTCAGAATAGCTAGATGCCTGGGTTGTTCATTGTCCAAGTCATGTTGAAAAGCTTGGAAGCGGCACAACAAGACAGCCATGAGTTCCAGCAAAATTTGCTGCAAAACGTCTCTGTTCCTCCATGTGTCTTTGCTCCATGTGATTGGCTGTGGCACACCTATTTCCTCCTTCCTTATGGGCTATGGTTACCTGGAATTACTGGGACAACTACGGGTTTGCGGGATGAATATATGGACGTGAGAGAGGGACAATGAGACTCCCACAAGCCACCTCCTCTCCTACCATAATGAGCAGATGGACCCTCTCCAACCCTGCGCTATTTTCTCTCTCCCTCCCTGCAGAGTTTTCTCTCTCCCTGCTGGCACTCTTGTCTCACTCCCCCCTTCCATTGTCTCTCAACCGTGCCTCTCCCCCTCCTTGCACTCTTGCCCCACTCCCTCCCTGCACTCTTGCGTCTCTCCCTCCCTGCGCTCTTGCCCCCCTCCCATGTTGGAGATAGGCTGCAATTCGGATGGCACAACTTTGTGTGTTAGGTTGTGTGTAGCCTTGTTTTCATCCCCAACCCATCCCGACCCAATCCATCCCAAATCCCCACAATTTGGGAGGATTCCCTTGGGATTCCCTCTGATTCTCCCTTATCCCTTCCCATCCTCTCCGTTGCCCGGTACTTAAGGATGTATGCTCTTGCTCATTCAATCAATCAAGTTCTCAGT